GACCAGCGTTTAAATCGTTTCGAGGTAACGTCTCTTTAACTCTCGCCTCATAAGAAATCTTATCGTTCCGATTGCTGCTTACATTTCGGGCGGTGTTTACATTTCAGCGTTACTGCGTGACGCGAAAGGGAGAGGGGTACGAGGAGACCCCAACCGCCGCCGAAGACCGGCGGAAGCCTAACATATCAGCACCGGAAAAACAGGAGAACGAAGAACGAAGAGCTGAGAAATAACGAGGCAAAACGAGTAGTAATTGGGAAAGAGATGGAGAAAAAGAGAGAGAGAGAGAGAGAGAGAGAGAGAGAGAGACCTGAGAGGAAGTAGTTCGAGTAACACAAGAGGATTCGGGGATTCGCTTTTGTTTTCGCGACCAGTGTGCGTGATCGAATACGCTGGATAGAGCGAAGACCGTTACCGTACCGAGACTTCTTTTCGTGTCAAGTACCGAACGGACGAAAATACAGAAGCTCTTTGCGAGAACGCGATCAATTTCGATACCGAGTGAAAACGATGAGAGTTGCGGCGGATCTAAGGGCCCGGTGACGGGAGCAATCCAGCGCGAAGACAAGGGTGACCGGCGAATTGATCGACTACCGGGGTGGAAAGTCAGGCAGCATTGGAGGACGACAGGCACAGGCAGCGGCGAGGAAGAGCCCCGAATTTTTGTAAGATCTCCCATTCGTTTCGCCTTGTGTCGTATTGGTTCCGTATCGTCGGTATCGTCGCACGTTGAGTGGCCGCGTAAAGAGAAAAATCCACGTGCGAGAGTGATTCACATAAGGTAAACGTCCTAGTGATTGAACGTGTACCAATAATTGAATTACTAATAATATACTTGTGTTTGTTAAGATGCTTATCAATAAATGAAACAAAATCACAAAGTAACTAAATATTTCTTTTTATTTATTATATTGTTTTGTATATTGAAAAGCATTTCAACAAAGAAAAATACAAAACCAATATGTCAATCACTGGGACATATATGCTCGACCACTAGGATGTTTACCATATCGTACCGTAGCGGAAATAGACGTGAAAACTGGTCGTGATTTTTGTGAGATACAATATTCGGGACGAGCGAGTCCCCGAGTCAAATAAAGAACTGTAATCATCAAATCGCTTTTCGTTCTCTCGGCCATTTCGGTCTCCTAAGATCCATCTCCCATCTCCCATCTCCCATCTCCGACTAAAGTTTCCCAGGAGCTACCGGACCCGTGGAGTCCCGTCGCCACTATCGAATTTAAGGAGAGTAAAGTTATCGCGAGAACTATTAGTGAGGAGGTACGGCCTTATCGTACCTGGCGCTCAATCTTAGATACCATTCGAGACTCGCGATAATTTGCAGACGCGGCGGACAGACGTCCGCCTTGAGGAAAAATCACGTCGCCAATTTTTGGCGCCCAATATGGGATCCTTCTTTAAAGACTCATAATATATCGTTTGGAGAGTCGGAAAAGTGTCAATTTCCGTTATCGTGAAATTTTCAAATTGTCGGAACGAAGAAGTCGGCGATAAAACTGAAGATCGGTCTAGTTGTCGTTTTCTTTCATCCGATTTGTCTCTTACAGTTTCGCAGTTTGGTCGTCCTTGTTTTTGTTTTACTTAATATTTCGGTGATATCTCTTTTGTCGATGGAAACATCGAAAGGTTGATTGTCGTTGCAATTTGAGATAAAAATTTTTTTTTTGTTTGCTTTGTTTCTCTCTTCCGATTATTGGTGCGATCAAATTTTTTTTGGTGAAAGCAGCTGTCGAAGCTGTCACAGCTTATCGTACCGCTTGAAGATTAAATTTTTTTTCCCTTTCTGGTGAAATATTGTGGTTGCCTAATCGATTGTAACTTCGTTTTTTTTTTTTGTTTTTTGGTTGACGATTCTCTTTGTCTGGGAGATATCACTACGCCCAGTTATATTTTTTTTTCTCTATGTGTGCATTTAATAACATTATTTTTTGGGGACCTATAATTCTAGCAGTGCACCTTCTGGATTTAAAAGGCCGCGAGTGAAAAGTGAATAGTGCGGACTATATCGCGTCGCGCGTGTGCTTACCGCGAGCATTGTGACAGGCGGGTTGCGTTCGTTTTTGTATCGGTTCTTGCGACGGATCAGGACCGGCGCGACGTACCGGGTGCGAATACCTACTTCCTGCGTGTGTGGTGGCGAGCGAGACGGCTGGCTGACATAAAGATAGCGAAGGGATACTAGGCGATTTCCTGTACGAGGAATTTCTTTTTCTTCTCTTTGTGTGAGCTCCCGCTTCTTCGTATCGACGAAGATCGTGTTCGTCTGGAAGCCTAAGTCGGTTAATTACACGCGTGCGGTGCGTCGAGTTCCAAAGTTTCGAGGTTCCCGAGCTAACGCGTTATGTCGGAGCCAAACGGGCCGAACGCCTGGATTTTCGAGCTGTCCCTCGAATAGCTGCGCGAGCAGGCCGTGCAGCGGGGACGATGTCCCGCCGTCGGCGCGAACCCCGATTCTTCCGCGTCATGGTCGCCGCGAGAAATACCACCTGCGTTTGTGCCGTCGGCGGCGTTTTACCCGCCACCGGGTGGACCCGAATGTAGTAACAGCGAACAATTTTTATCGGCCGGCGACGCGTACAATACTATGCGTCGCTGGAATCTTAGTTTTTCAGGAGCGCGCGGCAGCGACGTGGAAACCTTTCTCAGAAAAATAGAGGAGGGGCGTGAATTGGTATCAATTCGTGACGAGGACTTGTTTAAGTGCCTCCCGTTTTTTCTGTCGGGAATAGCGCTACAGTGGTATCGCACTAAGAGATCTCGGTAAATGGCGTGGCGTGAGTTCGGGGCCGCGTTGCGCTCTCGTTTCGGCGATCCCGATTTCCAGTTCGCGCTGCGCGACGAAATCCTGCGTCGGACGCAGGGCGAGCACGAACCGATGGCCGATTACTTAACGTATATGCTAGGATTGTTGACCGACTCAGTTTACTTTGGAGTGAGGTCGAACAACTAAATTACGCGCACCGAAACATGTTGCCGCGTTTACAGATCGCGGTCCACCGAGATGACTTTCTCGACTTTAACGCGTTGGAGAGGCTCGCAACTAGAGTAGAGAGAAGCTATATCGCCGCGAGCCAGTGCGCCATATCGTGCGCCACCACCCCCGGAGCGTTCGATTTGCCCCGTCTTCGTATATTGGCCGCCACCGCGCTCTGCTAGACCGTCGACGATGATGACGGCCGAGCAGATACCGAATTTCCGATCACGGGGATCGGAAACTTTTAGTGGGGGGGGCATGGACGACTCCACAGACTCCGCAGAGGGCGACCCAACAACTGGCCACCCGAACGGGGAATGCGGGGAGCGAGGGGCGAGGAGCGGAACTTCGTGGAAAACCGCGGAAAAGCCTACCTCGCGACCGGATTCGCGGAGCGGTGCTGGAACTGCGACGCAACCGGTCACTTCTCCCGCGACTGTCGCCAATTTCCGCGGGTACATTGCTACCGCTGCGGAAAAGCTAAGGAGACAATGCGGACGTATCCCTAATGCTCGGGAAACGAGGGAAGAAGGCGGTAGACCGGATCCCTATGCCTTCCCCCGAGACCGAGACCCGCGAAAAAAGGGAGTTAGCAGGATCATACGGAGCGCGTCAAGTACGCAAGCGTGCATCCCTGCAATATATAGAATTTAACATTGATGATGATTGTCTTCTCGAATTAGTCGATACCGGTTCGAATCGTACCATTTTTGGTGACGATGGTATCGAGTTGGTCCGAGAATTAGGACTACCCATCATGCATAACGTAAATTCGCGTATCCGCTTGGCAGATGGTATTTTGGTGTCGATGAGCGGATCGGTAGAAGTTGTTATCGAATTGCAGGGGCAAAAACGTATGCTTACGATAAAGTTACTACCGAGTCTCGCAGTACCAGTTATTCTCGGCATGGACTTTCTCGCTCAATTTGGTGTCATTATCGACTTTTCGCGGAGCGAGTGATCCTTCGCAAGTGACGCTTTGATCCGCTATCCTTTTCGCAACGAGCGCGGACAGGAAAAGATCTATTGCAGGGTCTCGGAATTATCGCGAGTAGAGAGTCAGGAGTTAGAAAAATTTATTGAACAGACTGTACCGACCGCTGCCGAGAGTCCCGGCGTAACGTCGCTTACGGAACATCGTATCGATGTCGGGACTCATCGCCGATTAGGCAGCGATGTTACTTAGTATCATCCAAAGTGCAAGAAGCAATTCGCAAAGAGGTAAACAAAATGTTATCGGCCGAAATCATAGAATCCTCACAGAGCGAGTGGTCGAATCTGATCGTAATTGTCAAGAAACCAAGCGGCAAAAACCGATTTTGTATCGGCTTCCGGAAAGTAAATAATATGTCTAAGAAAGACGCGTACCCGTTACCAAACATGACGGGCATATTAGACAAATTACGTGCCGCACGATATATTTTGACAATAGATTTAAGCCAGGCCTATTTCCAGATTCCGCTGACAAAAGAAAGTCGTGAAATTACCGCATTCTCGGTACCAGGCAAAAGTTATTACCACTTTACGCGGATGCCGTACGGGTTATTGGGGGCTCCTGCAACATTTCAGAGACTATTAGATAAATTGATCGGCCCTGAAATGGAGACTCATGCGTTGATTACCTAGACGACATCGTAGTAGTGACTTCAACATTCGACGATCATCTTGAGTGGTTGTCGCGTTTTCGACAAAATCAATACTGCTGGTCTTACCGTCATTCTCGAAAAATGTGAGTTTTACCGCTCGGAGGTACAATATATAGGATTTTTAGTGCACCGCGACGGGTTAAAGGTGGACAACGAGAAGGTACAACCTCTTCTCGAATACCCGGCCAACTTGAAGCAACTTCGCCGCTTCTTGAGTATAGCGTCGTGATATCACCGAATTTTATCGCGGTTTTTATCGAATTTCGCGACGGTTAGCGAGCCGCTCACGCGTTTGCTGCGGAAAGACAAGTGGTGGGAATGGCTAGTGCCCGAATTTCGAGCTACCGTTTGTTGTGCAGACCGATGCGAGTACCGTGGACTTGGGGGCTGTGCTCACGCAAACGATAAGTAACGTCGAGCGCGTCATAGAATATGCCAGCCGAGTCCTCACGGATGCTGAGAAGAAGTACAGCACAACGGAGCTCGAATGCTTAGCTGTCATTTGAACGATAAAGAAATTTCGACCATATTTGGAGGGCTACCGATTCACGGTGGTTACAGATCACAGTAGTTTGAGGTGGTTGCACAACTTGAGCAACCCAACAGGGCGTTTTGCACGATGGGCGTTAGAGTTACTCGAGTATGACTACGAGATCATACATCGAAAAGGAGCGTTATGACTACGTCCCCGATACATTATCGCGTATGTATGAGGACGTCTCCGAGACCCCGTTGGCGGCCGTAGCGACGAGTGACGAACCGCATATCGACGCGATTTTAGGGGAGACAGACGATGTATGGTACCGCAAACGCTTTCGTGAAGTACTAAGTGATTCGAAACGATTTCCGACGTAGCGGATTATCGAGGATCGTCTTTACTTTCTGCGTCCGACAAGAATCGGATTTGGTGGAAGATCTCGATAGGTGGAAGTGAATATTATCGCACAAGTTACGAAAGGAAGTACTCGAAGAATCCTACGACCACCCTCAGGCTGGCCACTTAGACAAGACGTATCATCGTCCTATGGTCGCCTATTACTGGTTGAACATGTACCGAAACGTTGTCGAGTACGTGAGAAAGTATGAGATCTGTTAGAGGACTAAGGCAGACCAGCATGCCCCCGCCGGTCTAATGGGGCAGCGAATTATCGAGAAACCATGGACAGTAGTAGCTGCTGATATAAGCCTTTGCCGCGTAACAAGGCCGGACACTCGTATCTTTTAGTGCTTATTTACGAAATGGATCGAGTGCCGTGCCTTGCGGAGCGCGAACGGAAAGCTCATTCGAACGGATTTCGAAGATCTCGTCATATTCCGCTGGGGAACGCCGAAGGTCCTACTGACAGATAACGGTACCGAATTTGTCAATAGAACGATCGAAGATTTCGCGAGAAAGTACAAGATCCATCACGCTACCGTTCCGCCGTATTACCAGCAGGCGAACCCGATCGAAAGAGTGAATCGAATTCTCAAGACCATGATAGTAGCGTTCCTCGACCGCGATCATCGCGAGTGGGACGCGCATATCGCCGACTTCCTCTTCGCATATAATACCGCTTACCATTCGTCTCTCGGGACGTCTCCCGCTTTCATTAATCGCGGGCGCGAGTTAGAGCCGTCGCGCACCTTGCGAAAGAAACAAAGCGACGAGATTAGCATCGAGTAACAAGATCCCGCTCGATGGTTGGAACGTATGAAAAAGGTATCGAAGTTACCGAAAACTTAGAGAGCGCGTACCAAATACAGTCCGCGTATTATAATTTGAGGAGGCGCCCTGAAGTGTACCGTCCCGGAGATTTGGTGTTGAAACGGCAACACATGCTGTCCTCCGCGACTCACAACACGGCCGCCAAATTGGTCCCAAAATTTCACGGACCCTTTAAGATAACCAAAATAAGGTCAGCGGTTGTGTGTGAGCTCGCACGACTGGATGGCAGTGACCTTGGAAAGATTCACATCAACGAGATCAAACTTTATGTGGAACCGACTTAGAGTTAAAGGTCGGGTATCGTATTGTCATATGGATGCTCCCAACTTTGTAAAGGAGAAAAGATTTGTTTTTTTTTGTGTGGTTGTGGCGGTTGGTGTTGGAGAAGATCCGACGATCGTCCGCCTTGGTTTGAGGAAAAATCACGTCGCAATACACGCACGCACGCACGCACGCACGCACGCACGCACGCACGCACGCACGCACGCACGCACGCACAGGATGTCTCGCAACCACTAGGCGGTATGTCGATGCGATTGCAGCTAAGCTGCGTGCGGTGTCTCGCCTCGATGGCAATCCCTCAGATCTCCTATCGCGGAGATTTGATGCAATTTCGTGTATGCGGTACGGAAGTCCGCCTGGGTACGCGGAACTTTAGTTATCGGTTTTGCCTTTACAATCGAACGAGGCCGGCTCATTCTAGCACGATCGCAGATGCGGTGACGATGGTGCTGCGGACGCGCCTATGCGTCGCAGTAACGATGTGATTCCGATCTCGCTTCTGGAGATCGGTTTTGCTAGTATCGCGGAGGTCGCTGCAACGGAGCGAAACTTCGAATAGACGGTTATGAGTTCGCACGCGGCGACTCGATAGCGATGTGAAGGTTGCGTTTAAGCGCCCTTCCGGTAGTTTGATTACAGGCCCTCGATGGCCGTGGAATCTTGCGGATAGCGGTAGTTTCAGTGCCGGTGTCACGAATCCGTGAGCCGATGGCGGAGTGGCTGCTGTTGCGAATCCGCGAGCAGTAATCTACCAGGAACAGTTTGAAGAACAATGTTGATGTCACGAATCCATGAGTCGACGACGGAGTGATTGCTGTTGTGAATCCGCGAGCAATAATCTGCCAGGAACGATGTGAAGAACAGTGTCGATGTCACGAATCCGTGAGTCGACGGCGGAGTGATTGTTGTCGCGAATCCGCGAGCAGTAATCTGCCAAGAACGGTGTAGAGAACAATGTCGATGTCACGAATCCGTGAGTCGACGGCGGAGTGATTGCTGTCGCGAATCCGCGAGCAGTAATCTGCCAGGAACGGTGTAGAGAACAATGTCGATGTCACGAATCCGTGAGTCGACGGCGGAGTGATTGCTGTCGCGAATCCGCGAGCAGTAATCTGCCAGGAACGGTGTAGAGAACAATGTCGATGTCACGAATCCGTGAGTCGACGGTGGAGTGATTGCGTTCGCGAATCCGCGAGCCATAATCTGCCAGGAGTAGGTACTTGCGGATTTCTCTCGAGAGCGGATGATCGGAGTCAGATTCTCTCGAAAGAGCGGTAGATCGGATCTGATCTCGATTACAGATTCGCGGCATCTTATATCTTGCGAATCATGCTTAATTCGCTGTTTATCACTGTTGTTCGACGTTGTTTATTATCGAAAGGACGCGCTGTCCCCTTTGGTTTGCTCTTCGCGATCGCGTTGTTATGCGTTTCCTAATTCTTTCGTAACGATCCTTTATGGGGACCGTTACACACACACACACGCGCGCACACAAGGTGTCCCACTTTAAACTTCCCAGACAAAAATCTCGAAAAATATGGAAGATACGGAAAAATATATTAGACAAAAGTTATATTATTCTATGGAGGACATATATAATAAATATACACTTTTTTGGCCTATATTGTCAAACTTTTTATTGGTTTTGACAAAATATGGCGGAACCAATAAGATGTCTGGAATCTATGCTTTGCGAGCAATATTATTCAAATGATAGGAAAGGAACAAAAAAGAAAAAAACGTGTTGTCAATCATTTCAATTATTTTCTATAATTTATATATATCTTATATTACACATTCGATATAATATAACAGGTTAGAAAATTATTTTTGACACATTATTATTATTCGACACATTTGTACACTTTTGTGAGAAATTCTCACTCTTTAGCTTAAGTATAACAGACTTGGCCCCCCTCCCCCCGCCGCAGTGCGGGGGGTCGGGGGGGGCATAGCCAGAGTCCTTATAATAAGAGTCTGGTCTATGTTTCTTATTCGACAAAACATGGCGTCGTAGATAAAATAAGATAAGATTAGGTGATGTGAAGGCTGCGTACCGAAATTTATTGCCAGTACTGAAATTCTATAGTATACGTAACATGAACTATAGATTTTCAATACTGGCAGTGAATTTCGGAATGCAGCCAAAATAAGACTTCTCTAAGATATAGAGAACTCATAGAGCATAACAGAATAAACATTATTAGTCAAGACTAATGTTTATTAATATTAAAGTACTAATAGTAATTATATAAAGAAATAATAAACAACAGAAGTAAGTTAATATTTATAATAAAATAATATGTATAAACATTGTAATGCATGCAAATGTGTCGAATAATAATAATGGGTCAAAAATAATGTTCTAACCTGTTATATCGAATGTATAATATAAGACATATATAAATTACAGAAAATAATTGAAATGATTAACAACACGTTTATTTCTTTCTTATTCCTTTCCTATTATTTGAATATCGCTCGCAAAGCATAGATTCGAGACATCTTATTGGTTCCGCTATATTTTGCCAAAACCAATAGAAAGTTTGATAATATAGGCCAGACACTTACTATAGGAACTTTAGGCGTAGCTCTCCAGTTACACGGCTAGAGATAGGCACCTTTTTTATTTAATGTGTGTATATATTTTTTTTATTAAACGTGTGTATGTATGTACACAAATATACACTGCTCGCTTGCACGCGCGCTTGCCCACCCGTCCGGGCGGGCTCGCGGTGTGTGCGTGTGTTCGTATTATGTGATTAGTATTTGAAGTTTTATAAATACACACTTTTTCTTAATAATATAAACACGGCTATATAGCAATCGCTTATAGTTTCCGAGATATTAAAGATATCTGTCTCTAGCCGTGTAACTGGCTACGCCCCCCAGACCTTCCGCACCGCGGCGGAAGGGGACCAAGTCTGTTGTACTTAAGCTAAAGAGTCAGAACTTTTTATAAAAGTGAGAAAAAAGTATGTATTAATAAAACTTCAAATATAATAGGGACACACGCACACACCGCGAGCCCGCTCGGGCAGGCGGGCGAGCGCGCGTGCCGGCGACCAGTGTATGTATGTGTATGTGGTTGCGCGTGTATGTACGTACGTATGGCTGGCACCTTCCTAACTTATAAATTCCATGTTTTTGTATATACAGTGTCCAAACATTACATTCATTTTATACAAAGTCTTATGCTAATAACTTTTTAACAAACAAAGATAAAAGTCAAAAGTATTGACCTCCTTGAGGGTTAAAGTAAACATCAAGGTTACTCGGAAATCACTTGGAACTGGCTGTGTAAAGGTAAACATTTACCAAAAATCCTAATACAAAAATGTCGAGGCTACAATAGTTTTTGAATTATAACCGATCAAAAATTAACAGTAATATCGCGTGGAATTCGTGCGCTCAGACCTGTAATTATATAGCACGCACGACGTTTTATCATTTTTTATCGACTTCACGATTAATATTGATTTTAACTACACAGCTTATTCCAAAAAGCATTAATAA